ATCTCTGAAATAAAGGCACACCATAGTTGGTAAGTCAGAGGAACCAGCACCTCACATTGGAACCTGGCCTAACTTCAGGAGAAAGACAGCTGGAACCTGCAGTAGAACCTTGCAGTGTTCAACTTCAACCCAGCAGCAGGTCAGAGATTTCAACTTGGGCCTTGCAGCAAAAAATGAGCCTGAACCTCAGGGGACAGCTGCAGGTTTGCTGAGACTAATTAGCTTAGATCTGCACACTCATGCCCATGCTGTCTATTGTGTCAACAGAGCATACCCTGAAGGAGACCTGCTATTTCTATTTGTATTTTTTATTTCCAAAGTTAATATTTTTCTCTCATTTTCAATCATTTAAAAATTTTTATCAATCTTTTTCTTTTCTCAAATTTTTCCATTTTTTAATCTTTTTATCTTCTTTTCTCTCTCACTCTCCTACCTTGATCTCCATTACTCTCCCTTTTTGCTCCTGTTCCTATCCTAATTCAATTTTATTTTTTCTTTTTCTTTTCTTTCTTTCTCTTTTCCTTCTCTCAGTTGTCATTAGTTTTAAAAGGAAGTGATTACAGTCTCTAGCCTATTGCTGTTAGTTTGTACTGTTCTTTGGTATATTTTGTTCTTTCTTCTCTTCAACAGTTCCCTAGACTTTGTGTGATCTTCTTATTTCCTCTGATGTCACTTCTAACTTTCTCTATCCTATCTATCCCTCCATTTCCAACTCCTTCTAAATCCCCATTCTGAAGGGCAAAGTTGCTATATTGAAGAGTTTATTCACTGTAAACATATTTTGGACTTCTCCTTGATTTTGATTTAATTCATACAGTTCAAGGTCATAGATTAATAACTACCACAAACTGTCATTTTCTAAGCTGTGCTTGATGCTATTGTGTTGCTGATTGTATCACTTGGGCTAAGATGTTGTGATTGATTTAATCAGTTGTCCTCCCTGGTATAACGAAAATGAGAATGCCTCAGAGACATTAGAGTCTCAAAACCTAAATACCAGATATGTCTGGAAGATCAAAGTATTAATCCAGGAATTAAACCAAGGACAGGACCAACAACAAAAATAGAAATGAGAAGGCATTTAAACAAGACACAAACACAGAACTCCACCCCACCAAAGGTAAACTCTGGGGGAAATGAAAAGTCTGACAGTCAACCATCTGGAAAACCTGAACTCATACCACAGGAAGTAACAAAACAGATAAATCAGGTTCTAGAAAAATTCAAACCAGAAATATTTTCCCAGATAGCCACAGAGATGGTGAGAAGAATGAAAGAAATGATTAAAGACTCTAGAACAGAAACAGATACAAAAAATAGATGAGATGAGGATCATGATGGAAACGATGAATGCCCAGCATAGGAAAGAAATGGAATCCATGAAACAGATTCAGGAGATTCTGATATCCATCCAGGAGATAAAAGAAAAAACAAAACAAACAAACAAACAAAAGCTATAGAAAGCATTCACAGCAGGATGAATGAATGTGAAGATAGAATTTCAGATATAGAAGATAGGATTGGTATTGCAGTCAGTTAACATAAGAGAGATCTCTTAAAAACAGTAAGGGACTATGAAAAATCAAGCCAAAAACTCTTAGATGATGCAAAGAATAATAATAATATAAGACTGATAGAAATCCATGAAATAGCAGAAGAAATTTCAAATGACATAAAAAACTTTTCACAGAATTAATGACAGAAAATTTCCCAAACAGAGGGGAAGAATTTAACATACAGATAAATAAGGCATATAGAACTCCAAATAGCCATGATTAAAAAAAGCTAAATATAGACATATAATAGTCAAGACCCCAGAAACCCAACAGAAGAACAAAATACTACAAGTAGTTAGAGAAAATAAACAAATCACATGGAAAGGAAAGTCCATCAGAATCACAGCAAACTTTTCAAACCAAACTCTCAAGTCAAGTCAAGAAGAGCCTGGAGTGAAGTATTTCAAGTCCTAAAAGAAAACATCCTCCTACCTACACAGATATATCCTGCAAAACTGTCCATCAAAATTAATAGGGAAATACAATAGTTCCACAAGAAACAACACCCAAGAAATTTCATGAACACCAAACTGGCACTCCAAACACTTCTAAACAATATCCTGGAAAAAGGAAATGAAGACCACAGCTCCATAAGGGCCAACAGAACAGATATACCAGGCAAGGCAAGAAATTAAAGGGAGAGAGGGGAAATAAAAAAAACAAAAGAACCAACAACAGGAAAATAACAGGACAATGAAAAGTCAATACATAGAGTTATTACCATCAATATTAACTGATTTGATTGACCAATCAAAGGAAACAGGCTGGCAGAATAGACGAAGAAGCAAAATCCAACAATATGCTGGATACAAGAACCCCACTTAATCCAAAAAGAAATTCATAGACTGGGAGTAAAAGGATGGAAAACAGTTTTCCATGCAACAGGAGCCTGTCAGGGGTAGCTGTCTTATCTGCAGACAGAACAGATTTGAAACCAAAACTAAGACAAAGAAAATCACTACACCCTTGTAGAGGGAATAATCCACAAGGAAGAAATGACAATCATAAATATATATGCACTAAATACTAATGCCCCAAACTATACAAAAAATATTAATGGATATGAAAAACAAAATAAGCACTAATACAATTGCAGTGGGGGACCTCAATACTCCACTGACACAAATAGACAGATCATCTAGACAAAACATCAACAACAAAATAACAGAACTGAACCAAGTCTTAGAACAAATGGACTTAGTAGATGTCTACAGAGTGTGCCACCACACAAAATCAGAATGTACATTCTTTTGGGCTGCACATGAATCATTCTCCAAAATAGACCATATGCCAGCACATAGAACATGCTTAAGTAAATGCAAAGGAACTGAAGTAATCCCCTGTATATTATTAGACCATAGTGCAATTAAACTGGAGATCAATACCTAAGAAACCACAAGAACTTCCCAAACACATGGAAATTAAATAACAGCATGCTGAACAACATTGGTTCATAGAGGAAATTAAAGAAGAAATAGACAGTTTCTACAATTAAATGATAATGCCAGTACAACATACAAGAATCTATGGGACACAATGAAAATAGTTCTATGAGGGAAATTCATAGCTGTAAATGTCCATACTAGGCAAACAGAGTAAGCTCAAATAAACAACCTAATGCTTAACTTTAAGCTCCTAGAAAGAGAGGAGCAAGACAAACCAATAGCTCATACAAGGGAGGAAATCATAAAGATCAGAGCAGAAATTAATGCAATGGAGACTAAGAGTACAATATGAAAATCAAAGAATCAAAGAGTTGATTTTTTGAAAGAATAAATAAAATTGATAAGCCCTTAGACAACCTTATCAACAAAAGGAAAGGCTCAAATTCATGCAATTAGAAATGAAAAAGATGAAATCACAACAGACCCAGAAGAAATCCAGAGGATCATCAATACCTACTTCAAAGACCTATACTCTAATATAAAATGGAAAACACAGAAGAAATGGACAGATTCCTAGACACATATGAACTTCCAAAGTTGAACAATGAAGATATAAAAAGTCTAAACATCACAATTAAACTCAGTGAAATTGAAAGCATAATTAAAACATTACCAACAAGAATAGCCCAGGCCCTGATGGCTTCACTGCTGAATTCTATAAGACACTTAGAGAAGAACTATTGCCACTACTCTTAAAACTCTTCAGTGAAATTGAAAGTGAAGCAATACTTCCAAATTCATTCCAGGAAGCAAGTATTACTTTGATTTCAAAACCAGAGAAAGACCCAACCAAAAAGAACTATAGGCCAATCGATCTCCTTAAAGAACACAGATGCAAAAATCCTCATTAAGATACTGGCAAACAGAATACAGAAGATCATCAACAAGATCATATACCCTGACCAAATCAGATTTATCCCAGGGATGCAAAAATGGTTCAACATATATAAATCAATAAATGTAATACACTGTATTAACAGAATTAAGGACGAAAACCATATGATCATCTCAATAGATGAAGAAAAAGCATTCAACAAAATTCAACACACATTCACAATAAAACCCCTACAGAAAATTGGCATAGATAGTCTTTATCTCAACCCAACAAAGTCTATCTATGAAAAACCAACAGCCAATATCATTCTAAATGGTTAAAAACTAAAAACCCTCATGCTAAAATCAGAAACAAGACAAGGATTTCCATTGTCACCACTCCTCTTCAACATAGCTCTAGAAACATTAGCCACAGCAATTAGACAAGAGAAAGAAATAAAAGGAATAAAGATAGAAAGGAAGAAGTTAAAATGTCACTATTTGCTGATGATATGATAGATAATCTACATAGAAGATCCAAAAAAACTCTGCAAAAAGACTGCTAGACTTGATTGCAGAAGGAGTCGAGTGGCTGCTACTCAATGGCGGAAAAGCCGCCTGTGCTCTGACTGCCTGGTCCCCCTAGCAGTTGCGAGGAAGTTTCCTGCCTGGCATGTCTGGAGTCTCTGTTTCTCAGTTTTTGGTGGCTGGAAGATGTTCCAGAGAGATGAGGCTGCGGTGGAGGCGGAGTCGGTGGCCGAATCAGCAGCGACTCTAGGGTGGAGAGAAGGCAGCGGTGGCGGCACGAGGGGCCGGATGGTGTAAACAGCCCCAGAGGCAGCGGAGGCAGTGGTGGCGGAGAGCCGAGAGTCAAGCAGCGGCTGAGGCAGGGTCGGGCCTCGGGGGAAGCCTGGGCTGAGAGCAGCAGGCATGAATGGATGCGCCGAACCTTGCCTCCCTCAGTTGCCCAGGGTCCCACTGTAGTTGAGATTGACTTGGAACTCACTATGTAGCCCAGGGTGGTCTCCAACTCACAGCAATCATCCTGCCTCAGCCTCCCAAGTGCTGGTATTACAGGTGTGTTCCACCACGCCCTGCCTGGACTTTAATTAAAAGAGCAGGCATCAACATATTGCTTTGGAATTGTGTTGTTTCAACACAAGAATTCTCAGATTCATTGCTAAACATGAGTGCCTTTTTGGATAAACCCAAAACTGAAAAACATAATGCTCATGGTGCTGGGAATGGTTTACGCTATGGTCTGAGTACCATGCAAGGATGGAGAGTGGAAATGGAAGATGCACACACAGCAGTTGTAGGTATTCCTCATGGCTTGGAAGACTGGTCATTTTTTGCAGTTTATGATGGTCATGCTGGATCCCGAGTGGCAAATTACTGCTCAACACATTTGTTGGAACACATCACTACTAAGGAAGACTTTAGGGCAGCTGGAAAGTCAGGATCTGCTCTTGAGCCTTCAGTGGAAAACGTCAAGAATGGTATCAGAACTGGCTTTTTGAAAATTGATGAATATATGTGTGACTTTTCAGACCTCAGAAACCGGATGGACAGGAGCGGATCAACTTCAGTAGGAGTTATGATTTCACCTACGCATATCTACTTTATCAACTGCTGTGATTTACGGGCTGTTCTGTATAGGAATGGACAAGTCTGCTTTTCTACCCAGGATCACAAGACTTGTAATCCACGGGAAAAGGAGAGAATCCAAAATGCAGGAGGCAGCATAATGATACAGAGCGTTAATGGTTCATTAGCAGTGTCTCCTGCTCTGGGGGACTATGATTACAAGTGTGTTGATGGCAAGGGCCCAACAGAACAACTTGTTTCTCCAGAGCCTGAGGTTTATGAAATTTTAAGAGCAGAAGAGGATGAATTTATCATCTTGGCTTGTGATGGTATCTGGGATGTAATGAGTAATGAGGAGCTCTGTGAATTTGTTAAATCTAGGCTTGAGGTATCTGATGATCTGGAAGTTGTATGCAGTCAGGTGGTGGACACTTGATTACATAAGGGAAGTCGAGATAACATGAGTATTGTATTAGTTTGCTTTTCAAATGTCCCCAAGGTCTCAGAAGAAGCAGTGCAAAAAGATTCAGAGTTGGATAAGCACTTGGAATCACGAACTTATGGAGAAGTCTGGTGAGGAAGGAATGCCTGATCTTGCCCATGTCATGCGCATTTTGTCTGCAGAAAATATCCCAAATTTACCTCCTGGAGGAGGTCTTGCTGGGAAGTGCAATGTTATTGAAGCTGTTTATAGTAGACTAAATCCACACAGAGAAAGTGATGGGGGTGCTGGAGATCTAGAAGACTCATGGTAGCCTTATAAGCCTTCTAAAATGCTTTTGATTCTGAAAATTGGGGGAAAAAACTTTTAATCACATTTTTATTCAGTACAAGGGATAAATATTCTTGTGGATTCCCAATGTTTTGTGATACAAGCATAAAATCATTAGCTTTTCCCATCATTTGTTCATATTTGTGTTTTCTGATACTTGCCACTCATAGCATTGCCTGTACTACAGTATTTTTTGCCAACCTCAGGCATACTGGTTACATCTGTATTTGAACTTTTGGCCCTAGAAACCAATGGAATTATCTTACCACAAATCAACAAATGTGCCTGAGCTGCATGGAAATATAGTTAGCTATACTCTGAAGATACATTATGTTTTTTTAAAAACAGAGCACACAACATATAAGCATGTAAGAGTAAAGAATTGTATAAGATGTTCCTTTTTTTATTCATAGAGTTGGAAGCCTATTGCAGTTCTGTAGCTTGGAATTTCATTTGAGCATCTTACTATAGGGTATGTATTTATTAATTGTTATTTTTTTTCAATTTTACCTGTATTACCAAACTTGGTTCTCCAATAATGTCCGAATTGTATTGTTGCCTTGCATCAAGATAGAGTGTATTTGGCAATAATAATATAAATCCTAATTTTATGTGTGTATCTACTACATCCTTCAACTTTTGCTAGTAAATCTTTTGAAACCAAATAGATTAATTTATGCCTATTTAATTTGCTTTGACATCTCACTGTTGCAAATTCTTTTCAATAAGATTTGCCTTTATAATGTAAATTGTGATTTTTTTTGTTTTACATGTGGGTTTCTATAGTTTTAATTTTTTCAGCTTTTAAGATACAAGAAGTTTTGCTGTCATTTGGTATAATTTTTAACTGTTATTTTAAAAGCTCAAAATATCACATTGAAATTACTATAAATACAATTTAAGTTATCTATTTTAGATCTAAGGAAATATTACAGAGATATTTTCATGGGTTCAGTAACCTTTCATTTTATAACATTGGGCACGGTGCAGAGTGGTTGTCACATAAGGTACTTGAAGATTATTTAGTTTAATTCTATTTTTATAATAACCTTGAATTTCTTTAATTTTTCTCTAAGTTTTTCGTGTATTAAGTCCAACTAATGCTGAACATGAAGAGTAAAGTATTTATCTAAAAGAAGTTACTGGGGTAGGAGAAGTCATGAATGTATCCATTTATACATGGTTTACATGTTGTGGGTGCTTTTGTAAATGTTTTCCTATACATTTAAATTGTGTTTCAGTAAGTTGTAATTGCCTTTGTGTGTAGTTCAAGTGAGTCATCATTTGGTCCTGTGTGAAATGGAATTCATGGTATTTTCTGTAACATTTTCCTAAAACTGTTTCTGGAGAGCCACATTTTGAATACAAACAGCTGTCCTGATCACTTGATTTATTGTGCATCTGATTTTTTTTGGTCTGAAAGGAATTACTGCCACAATATATTTTATTTATTCTTTAGATTTTAGCTTTGTAAGTTAAAGTGCTTTACATGATGGTGTTACAAGCTATTTGTCCCTTTATTGGGTTTGGGGGGTTGTTAAAAGATAAGGAATGAAGAATGCAGAAATGGTTTATTATTGTTCCTATTGTCCACTCTGATCCAACCCTGTACTGATAGTACCTTTCCAGTATGATATTGTGATGTTTCATACAATGCAGTGACCATAACCAACTTGTTACTTAAATAAAGAATTGATTTAAAAAAACTGCTAGACTTAACTGACAGATTCAGTAGAGTAACAGTCTACACTCAAAAATCAATAGCCTTCTTGTACACAAATAACAGACTCAGAGAGAAATTAAGGAAAGAATGCCTTTCACAATAACATCCAAAAAATGAAATATCTAGGAATCAGTCTAATGAAGGAGGCAAAAGACCACTACACTGCAAATTACAGAACTCTGAAAAAAGGAAATAGAAGAGGATATAAGAAGATGGAAAGACCTCCCTTGCTCCTGAGTAGGAAGAATCAACATAGTAAAACTGGCCATATTTCCAAAAATTCTATATAGATTCAATGCAATCCAGACTGAAATCTCAACAGTATATTTCACAGAATGTGAGAAAACAATACAAAAATTCATTTGGAACCACAAGAGACCTGGAATAGCAAAAAACACTTTAGGCAACAGAGATATCACAGGGGTATCACAATTCCCAACTTGAAACCATAGTACAAAGTCACTGTGATAAAAGCAGCATGGTACTGGCAAAGAAACAGACCCAAGGATCAATGGAATAGATTATAAAATGCAGAAACAACACGAGACATACTCAGGTACCTCATCTGTGACAATGGAGCCAACCATCCTCACTGGAGGACAGATAGCCTCTTTAAAAAATGGTGTTGGAAAAACTGGCTTTCAACTTGCCAAAGATTAAAACTAGATCCCTATCTTTCACCATGCACTAAACTAAAATCCAAGTGGATTAATTATCTAAATATCAAAGCAGAAACACTAAACTTACTGGAAAGTAAATTAGGTAGAACTCTCAAAGATATTGACATAGGAGAAGACTTTATGAAGAAATCTCCAGCAGCACAAGAACTTGCACAAAGATAAACAACTGGGAATCTCATTGTATTAAAAAGTTTTTGCAGTGATAAATCACCAATAGAGCTAAAAGACAATCTACAACATGGGGAAAAAATTTTACCAGCTGCTCCTCCGACAAAGGACTATTATTTAGAATATATAAAGAACTCAAAAAAGTCAGACCCACCTCCAAATACAAAGACCTGATTCAAAAATGGGCATCTGAAATGAACAGACATTTCTCAGACAAAGAAGTAAAAGCAGCAAATAAATATATGAAAAAATGTTCGACATCACTGGTCATTTGAGAGATTCAAATTAAAACAACACTGAGATTCCCAACACTGAGAAACCCCAGGAAGAATGGCTGCTATCAAGAAATCAACCGATAACAAATGCTGGTGGAGCTGTGGAGAGAAAGGAACCCTTCTCCATTGTTGGGGGGTGGGCAGACTGGTGTAAACACTATGGAAATCAATATGGAGATACCGCAGAGAAGTAGGATTAAAGGTTCCATTTGACCCAATTATCCCTCTGCTGGGTATGTTTCCAAAAGAATTTTAAAAAATCATACCACAGTGATATATGTGCACTGATGTTTTCAGTGGCACAATTCATAATAGCTAAAACTTGGAAACAACCCAAATGCACATCAACTGGAGACTGGATAAAGAAAATGTGTTTTTTCCTCTAAAATGGAGTACTACTCAGTCATAAAGAATTGGAAACTAGAAACATTTATAGCCAAATGTATGCACATTGAAGCTATACTCAAGTGAAATAAATAGGACACACATGAGTAAATACCAAACAGTTTCTCTGGTATGAAAAACCAAAAGTGTAAATAAGGTTCAAATGGTATAATTGGGAATGTGAAATAGGAAGAAAAGGGCTAAAGGTGTAGGGGAAGTGGGAAGGGTAGGGGAGAGGAAATAAGGAAAGAGAAAAAATGTGAGAAAATAAAAATATGGAAACAAAGTCTTTGTAACTAGGGGAGGGTGAAGAGGGTGAAGGAAGGGTAGGGGTGTGGTGGGGTAAAAACAAGAACCAAGATATATCATGTAAAGGTACAAGATTCCAATAATAAATGTATCTGTATTGTTTGCTTTAAGTGTACTAATAAACTTAATGGGGCAAAAAAGACATTTCCACAGTCAGGCTACTCTTGGGAAGATACTGATGCAAAGGCATTGTTCTGCACACAGGCTGAGTGGGCCACAGTGCCCATAGGAAACTCTTAGGAAAGAGTTGCAGGTGCTACATTTTGAAGGCTGTAGGGTTGATGTGTCCATAAATAGCAATTAGTGGATGTAGATAGAGTCTGATTGCATCTACTTTGAGCAAATCAAATTTAAGGAAAATGACTCAGAGTAATGTTCATACAGAAAATTATTTTCATATCTTAAACCAACATATGTGCTTTTATCAGAAGCCAGTAACATCAAGAAGATTTGTGGGAGAAGATGGCTACTCCCTTCATCACCTCCTAATCTAAATTTTCCCAGAAAACTCCACAACAAGTTTGTTATTGTTGTTGTTGTTGTTGCAGTTCTGGGGATCGAACTCAGAGCTTCACACACGTTCAGCAAGCACTCTACAACTCAGCTATGCTCCTAGCCCTAATAATTACATTTTTATCCTGTCACTTCTTTGTAGAAAAAGAGGTCTAGAAGTTTATTATCATGAAAAATTGTATATCTTTTTACCCATATATGTTTCAAAATTTACTGTTTCAAAATTCAAGGTTCTCAAGGTCCATCTATTTTCCTACAAATAAGTCAAATTTACCCTTCTGTATGGCTGAATAAAATTCCCCATTGTGTATGTATACCACGTTTTCTTTATCCACTCATCTGTTGATGGGCATATATGCTGTTTTCATAATTTAATTACTGGTAATAGCATAGCTGTAAATAGGGCTCTGCCTATATCACTGTAATATGATGACTAACTATTTCAGAATAATACCCAAGAAAGGTATAACTAGGTCAAGTGAAATTTCTATTTTTAGTTTTTTGAAGAATCTCCAAGTTAATTTCTATAGTGGCTATACTAGTTTACATTCCAACCAAAAAGGTAAAGGGTTCTTTTTTCCCCCACATCCTTGCCAGCATTTGTTGTTTTCCGAGTCCTTGATTACAGCCATTCTTACTGGAATGGAATTCCCAGTGTTGCTTTGATTTTGATTTTCCTAATGGATAATATGCTGAGCATTTTTTAATGTATTTAATGACCATTGGTACTTTTTTTTCTAGAAATTTCTATTCATTTCAGTTGCATATCTTATTTTTGTGGGGTCTAATTTTTTAGAGATCTTTGTATATTCTTGATATTAGTCTGTCAGAAAAGTAGTTAACAAATTTTTTTTCCATTCTGTAGGTTGTTTCTTCATTCTATTGATTGTTTCCTTTGCTGTGCAGAAGCATTTCAATTTGATATAATCCCACTTTTTGGTTCTTTAAATTATTTCTTGTGCAACTGGGACTTTGTTCA